GAACCGGGTAAATTGCACGCTTCGCTCTCGCGAACAGCCACCGCCGGCGAACACAGAAACATATGACCACTCTGTGGTCAAAATTAAATATGAAGCAACAGTTGCCGCTGGTGGCACAGATACAGTTTAATGCGAATAAAGAAATATCATGCGCTGCTGATACAAATAAACAAGGAAAATAAGAGAATTTAGATATCATATAAAAATTTCCATTAAAATACACAATAAATACATTACATAAATAAATTATATAATAAATATCTTTTTATAAAGTCTTAAACTTTAATTCATGTTTTCTCAAATGCATTCGTTTAAAAGAATCTATCATCTCGCGTTCAAGATAAAAAAATTCTGCAAACGATGTGTCTTGTGATATATCGCTCGTGTAATTAACGAAATTCATTCATTCTAATTGTAAAAATTTCGAAATCTATGACATGCGATAAAGTATAATTTTTCGTTATCGTTAACCAACTAACCGATGAATCAATGAAACTGAAACGTACAAAATTTAAACTACAAATTTCGGAAGCGAATTTTCGTGTGTAGTCAGCAAAATTTTTCCCAATGATTATTGCTTCTATTTTCGAAAGAGGCACGGTTGATTTATCGCAATCATCATCGATTAAAGTAACAAGCTTACGAATTAAGAGAAAGGCACGTAGGCCATAAATATGTCATAATTTTGTCATCCCCAGCTCTCACATGTATATAGCTCCATTGATCAATTAAACGATAGCAATTAATTACGTTGGGCACACCATTCGTGATATTTTTACGGAATGATACTATAGGTACTCAAATAGACAAAATTCTTAATCTGTATTATACTGTCCTTCTAATTGTAAAATTTCAATAAAGCTACTTGATTACAGTATATAAATTATGTACAAAGAATATCAATCAAAAAATATTATTAATTATTTAATCCATTCGTGCGCAAAAAAAGGAAGAGAGGGAAACACGAGGAAGTTTGATGAACTATATTATTAGTAGCAGTAAGGAACAAATTTGCTGCAATTTGTAAACCTGTTTAGCAAATCAGAACTTGAGCTATTTCGCTCTCCTAATAAGTCTCCGTGTCGTACCGAGTCATCTACTGTCTCTGCGTTATATCGATATTCCGCCGACACTCTTGCCCGACAGAAGTTTCCGCTTTCGATGATGGAGTAGAGCACAGTTTCTCGGATGTAACGAACCCTGTGCCGAGCCCTGTACGTACACCATGTGCCACGCTCCCGTCGTGGTTTACCATCTTCCACCGCGGAAACGTGTATCGAGCCATACGGCCGTCAACTGAATTGGGACACGCTCAGTCTACATACGTGCTCGTTATCGAAGAACCATTAAGCCTCCGCAACTATGATTAAATTTGGATAACGTGAAACCGCTATAACGTGAAACTGTTCGGGTTTAACTCGATAAATAAATTACATGTCACAAATCGTGTCATAAACTGTGCCATATATTATATTAGCGGATCGGGGAAGGACATTAATTTTACTTTCTGTTATTTTATGAGGGAAAACAGACGCGTACAAGTTGACTTTGCGTTTTCATTTACGTTTTACGAAAGTTGAATCACCAGAAACGACAAAACGAACCGCCTACGGGGAAATCCCAGATGCGCGAGTGCCTTCGAGTTATCGATCGGCCGTGGGATCCTTCGAGGACTCGTTCCGCCGGCGCAACGTGCGAAGTGTATCGTGCAACAAGTACCTGGCGATAAGTGATAGCACCCTGAGGGCTCTGCAGTTGGGATTCTCGCAAGAAACGATCCCCCGAGACTATATCCGTGTCTCGTTTGCGCGGACTAGCGCAACAAGTTACCCGAAGCCGTCGCTCCATATAATCGACTTTACCGATCGGCAAACTCATTCGGCGAAACCGATATCGGTTTTCGAATAATTCAGGAAAGCTTTTTGCATGTCTCGCGCCGCGCGCGTCAAACGGAAGGCAAGTTTTGGCTCTCGAAAAATTTCCGTGATCGCGTACCGGGGATGTAAATGAAGGTAAAAATGTTATCATCCACGCTGCATAAATACAACGACAGACGAAAGGGCGGGTTAATTTATCACGAAACGACAGCTAAGGATTAATGGCAGCATGGCGAATCCACGGCAGCCTCGCGTGCGCATGAATTATGAGAGATTCTTGTACCTACAAAATTCGCGGTCAGTGGGGCATGAAAAAAAGAATAGGAGGAAGGTCGAACGGTAATGTCGATGCACGTGTACCTGCGGCTCGCGTGATAGCGGAATACAGGTGGTTTCACAGGGAAATCGAGCGAAAACGGATAAAAAAGACGGGCGGAGGGTCGGGACAATTGCTTCGGCATATCCGCGCCGACATTGTAAAAAGAAACGTTCTTTAATCTTATTCGAATATATCCTTAACAAATTTCCCGTGAAACGCGATTATCTGTTTCGATACGTCTGCCGTTTTCTCGAAGATGTGTAGACACTTCTTTACTGTTTCCATTTCGCAAAGTACCGTCGTGTCGTTCGTACCGTATAAACCGCATAAACGGATACGTTGCAACGGTGGATTGCGTTTTATATAACCCGAGACCCGGGGAAGCAGCACCCGCGCTCGGTAATAAAATTGCAGGGGACCAGAACGCGATCACTAAATAACACGCGATTATGCATTCGCGGAGATTTATTATTCCGTCGCGTATACCTCGCTCTCACGGATTGCCCCTCACTCATCCACGCCCATTAATCATAAACGGAAGAAACTGTCGGAGCGTTCCGCGTTAAATTGACCGACAAATTAAAACTCGATCACTAATTTAGAACGTATATTGATGCGTGCTGTGCACGCTCACGTCTATTAATAACATTTCAGGTTTTAACGACGTTCCCAAATTTTCCATTTTGTGGTTAATTACGTGCTTAATGGTCTCGTAACAAAAGTTTTTTTTAGTAAAATACCATGAAACGATCCTGAAACTAAAAGCGGATCATGCCATATTACGCAATGATAGCTCTCTTTTAGATGACATATCGATCCTTTAAGGACGTCTAAACTGAAATTGCTGATGGTAAATAAAGACGCGGAAGAAAGAAGCACGGAGCACGGATTAAAAATTGAAGTGGGCTTCTCTATATAGAAGTAAGATCTGCAGATCTCAACTTGATAATTTATTTATAAAAAAAAATCGATATAGAATTTTCAAAAGGTAAAAATCCTATATAATCTCGTGACTCGATATAATCTACTAAGAAGGCTTCTGAAATGGAAAAAATGTTCTCTTACCGTCGTTTTTTTTCGATAAGATTATCATTTTGCCTTATTAAATCTGCTTTGACTTACTTGACCTTATTATCTCTATATTAGTTCGAAGCATTTGTGATTTATATTAGATTGTGATGTAATAACATACCGGAAATACAACCGATAGCAAATATCCGATAAATTCTTGTAAATACCTGTGTAACGCGTGCAATCACGTATACGGGGGCGCGTGGAGGAATTCTGAATGAAATTCTCCGTTCACCATATTTGCGGATCGATATGTGTTGTGTTCAAAAGGACGGCGGTTTATGAAGACGAGATTTTATCAGAATTTAGGGTTTTAATGGGATTACTCGCGTTTCCGCTGCACCTAGTTATGCAGTAACCGACAAATTACAGCATAACTATTTCGAAACAAATCGAATCGCGTATTTGTGACAAAAGATAAAGTTTATAAATATTAATTGCATGTTTTAATGTTATGCGTAACGATAATGACGCATAAGACTTATCTGATTGAATCAACAGCCATAAATTATCATTGATAATTTTAGAAAAAAGTTTAAGAAAATCTAATCTGATTCAATGCTTAAACAATTTCGTCAATGTGTATCATGATGCTTTATGGTGCGGATCCCGACTTAAATTGTAGCCCAACGACTATTAATAGTCGACACTGTAAAATTCAACAACGGCGAACGAGGTCGCCTTTTCCCTTCGTCGTGAGACGGCAGGCCAGCTAGCAATTGCAGCAGCCGCATCTCGCAAATCGTATCGGCGTAGTCGTCTTCTGGGAGATACGCTAATGGTCGATAATGGAACTGCCGCGGCACAGTCAAAATCAAATTATGCCACCCAGCAGCTGCTTGTCGCTACGATCCGCAAAACAATATGTGGCGGAAAGTACGCAGTTTTCGAACGCTAGACGATACGAGACGATGTCAACGAGAGACTTCCTTTTATTTCAGATCAAAAAGAATGTATAAACATGTTTTAAAATTATAATTTAATAATATTATCTGTTATGCAGTCAAACAATTTTTCACCTGGTTTACAGAAAGGTCGTGCGACACGCGTAAATTCCTTTCATTGAAAGAGATTTAAAATTTAAATACTTATTCAATCATTCACCTCAAAAACATCTCATCTCCTCAGTCTACTCTCTAAATTTTTTTGAGTGAATCTCACTCCGAAAGAGTGAAAATTCACTCCAGAAAATTTAGAGAGTATGTAAAATAGAAAGATCGTTTCTCTTTGATAAATGCGTAAAACTCTTAAAATTGTCTTTGCGCATAGAAATCTAGTCTATGTATATCTATTTTTGTTTTGTTTGAAACCGAAAGATTACGATTAACGTCACACAGCTGTACACTTGTCGTTCAACATTCAACCACAATACGTGACCTTTTGCATGTCCACGACGTCCTTGACTATCTAATTTAACTTGCGTTACATGTCGATATCTATATGATATTATACAATGCTAATGTTAATGACAAGTGAGCTGAAGCGTTCCGCTGAAGATAATATCGTTTACATCATGTGCCTGCCGTAAATACGAGGCTCGCTTGGTATCGTTTCACGTGATATACAAGTCATGTTTCCGATGGGAAACTATAGAATGATCTGAGATAATGACCAAGTGGCACAAACAATTTTACAGCAGGCAATTGTGGTCAATGTTCGAAGGAAATTTAAATAAATTATGTACTATCGGAAAGATTATGTTAATTAAGAATATGTATGGCTTTTTCTTTCAGTCAGAATCACCATTATGATGTCGCAAAAGAGGAGCCGGAAAGCCGGAAATGAAGTCGACAAATTCACTTAAACTGGATTTTTCTCTCGCCTGGGAAGAAACCCCGAACGAAAAGGAGGAAAAAAATAAAGCACACGCGAGGAAGAGGAATGGGCCCTTGGGCCTTCGTACCTCTCATCCTCGTGTCAACTCTAGGTCTTCTCCTGAATGGCTACGTTCTCCTTGTCGTTCTCGGTCTTGGTAAACAGGTGAACGATCGGATATTTATAACTCGTAAAATTTTTCTCGTTATCCCTTTCATTTTTTTTTTTTCGTATACTGATCTCTTTGACGCTCGCTTCGCGAATCAGGATAGCATTCAATTAAGTACGACGTGTCGTAGGTATCATAGTTTCAAAAAAACTGCTCGTGAACGCATTATTCATTTCAGCAATTATTGCAATCGCTTGTGTTTGAAATGTCGAATCCGAGAGACACGTGCGGACCGCTCTCTCGAATGTAAATTAGCTGAACTTTCCTGGCATTTCGGTCACACAGAGAGTTCATGATATTAAAAGACATCCGCTAAAAGCGTATCTGGATTGCAACGCGAGTTGCAAAGAGAGAAAAAGAAGAAAAAAATTAACTGTTCGAAAAAATAGGTACGCACGCATAATATATACTCGATGAAACTCATTTACTTAGATGAGTTTTTATCAAGATAAAGATGCAAATCACAGATAATTTCTTTTTATTACAAACGACTTTTTTACTTATTTTCTTCCGGCCGCTTTCAAGTTTCCGAGATACCATTGAAAATACTCTCATCTCCCATCGCGTGCGAGAATGGGAATGTGAGAAAGAGAAAGAGAGAAAAGGAAGGGAAACAGAGAGAACGAAACTTCTAGATAATTCACGATCTTAAATGGTAAATCTGACGGAGTGCGCGGTTCGCGCGTCACGCGTGGTACAGCGCGTAATTGCGGTTGTCGTATCGACCTATTAAAAGTTTAAATTACAAAGTCCCGCCGGGCATTGAGATTTGCGTAGTGGAAAGTCGCGATAACGCGATAGAGTCGAAAGTTGGCGTATCAACGAGTCACATCACAATGTCCGCAGACGCAGCAGCAGCAAACGGCCAACACTTTACTGCTGATCCATTTGGGCGCCGTGGAAGCGGCGGTGTGCCTGATACTGCTGATCTTCGCAACCGGCTTGTGGCCGGAAGCCGGTCCGTGGTGCGTTATTCACGGATTCCTACTGGCGTTGTTACATCCGGTCGCCCTTTGGACCGTCACCGGATTAAACTGCGACAGGTTAATCTCTCACATATTCTCTGTCTTTCTAATTATCGTTATTCGATATTCGGATACGAACACGTGTTCAGTGCGAATCGAAAACTTCTGGATGAATAAAGATCGATATCAGTTTCCCGTTTAATTCGTTACTCGCAGAACCGAACAACGCGGCTGCTCTTCAATAAATGATAATCAATACGTCAAGACTTGTAAACGTGGTGCACACAAAGGGATGTCTATTAATTATTACGCTCCTAATCAGTCACGCGTAATATCGCGTTTTACACGATGCGCATTTAATAATACTTTGCGCGATTCGATCATCCCACGTGTATTTCCGATTAAAATATATTTAATATAACAATTCGATAAAATTACTCTCGCCACTTACTGATAATTACTCGGAGAATTTTTTTTTACCTTGTCCAAAGTATAGACAATGTGTACACTTTTCGTTACATCATTATATATCGAAATACCGTTAAACAGAATTTCACGCCGATGAAGGGAAGAACGTCATTGTTGTTTGAGTAAATCGAGTACGAAGAGCTTGGAGAGCAATTCCTCTTGCGGAAACTTTCGATAAAAATCGAGTTCAATCTCGATATATGACGTATATCGAGTGATACGAACAAGGCCTCGGTTTCACCTGACACAAAAGGCAACACGAGATATCCGATGTAGGATATCAAATAAGGATTCCACGAAAGGCTCAATAACAATACCGCCGTAGCTGTCAGATAATACAAAACGTTCGTTCGATAATACAGTCTGTATCCCAGAATCGTCCCGTCGTCCCATCTCTACTTGTTGCTTATCCTCTCGTCGCAGACTCGCGTTAACAGCCACGTGATTTTTGAGATGTACGGCGAATCTAGATTGCGTCGACTGGAATAATTTCATCCCCTTTATTTGATATACATAAATGTTGTACCACTCGAGTACATCGTTTTGAGAGCGCTTTTGAAAATCTTATTAAGATGATTTCGTATTCCTCTTTCTGTACGTGAATCTCTGTAAATTCCATCGCATCGCGCGGATCCTTTTAAGAAAATACGTAAGACGCTCGCGCCCGAGAATATGAAGAGCTTCTTTTCCTTCTTCCCCTTTGCAAAAGGCAGTACCAGGCCCGACCGTGGCTCGATCGACCACGGAATATTTTATTCAGCAGTTTAAACAGATTTAAACCACCTCATTTTTCACTTTCTCGTGGCTCGCTCCCGGAGTTTTCCGCTGCGGAAAGCGTTGCGCTTTCTTCAATTTTTTTCTCGACAAGCATTTTTTCCATCCAGCGTCGTGCACATCTCGCGTGTGTATTATCGAGCGTACCATTTAATCCGATTAAATGACAAGCCGGGACTAATGAGTTCATTCGAAATCATTAAGAGTTAAACGCTCGGCCGAGCGTGAAACGACCATCCCACGCCGGCATCTAAATTACGTTTCTCGTATAGATTTTCGTCAGACATACCCCGCAATTACTCTATGCAGGTATTACGCGATCGCTGCACCGCTGCACTACGCTGCCTTGGTCTCTCCGCGTCGGGTGGTCGTCGGGCTGGCTGCCTCTTGGACGGGCGCTCTACTCCTGTGCTTGCCGCCGTTTTCGGGTCTGGTGCCACCTTATAGGTTTGTATATACGTGTTACACCATTAACCACCACACCGATACCGATGAACCAGCCATCGTCGTATTCCGCAGCGTTTGTTCGGGCGTTCTACGGCATTGCCGTGCAATTGCTGCATTTCCTCGCATAATAAACGAGATTCGATTTACTCTTTGTGCTCTGTCCCTTCGCCGAAGTTGTTACGCGTCGCATAAAGGCCCGCCGCTGCGAGACAATTTCCAGCTTCTCGCGACGCGTACCTACCCGAAAGAATTCCCATTCAGAGCAAACCTTTTGTCAGCGGTGAGTTAGTTAAGTTAAACGGAACCGATTGTAATAATACAAGTGAACTGTTTCAACGAACCCGTCTGTTTCATTTACTTTCGCGCGCTTAATACGAATGCAACAAACATCATCGCGTTGCGGCATGATCGCGCTCATCTATAAGTCGATTCTGTTCTTTTTTTTTTTTTTTCAATATCTCGTATGGATCAGGTATAACTCAGAGTTGGGTTGCTGCGCCCCGGATTTCGGGAATTCGGATTTCAGCACCTGGAAATTCGCCGCGGCGCTCTACGGCGCCGCTTACGCCATCCTGGGCCTGGGACTGCCGGCCGTCCTCGTGACGGTCTGCAATTTACGCGTGTTGGGTATAGCGCGGTACCATCGGCACCGTATCGCCAGCGCGATCTACGAGGTCACTCTGAGTGCCCAAGTGACCATCACCCATCAGCGAAATCCATTTTTCGTGCCAACCGTCACCGCACCCTCCGCCGGCGGACCGCCGCGTTTTCACAGCGCCGCCAGCACGGTTCGTACGTTTTTGTAAAATATTTAAGTCTTATGTTTTTGTAAAATTTAAAAAAATCGCGACATTAAACACATAACAAAAATATAACAAAAAAAATCATTCTATCGGCGCGTATCAGAACGTCTTCGCGATATCTCCTAATTAATGTAATGATTTTGCGAGCGGTCAAAATCAATTCTTCCTTAACAAGAATATCTAACCAATTTAGCTTTTGTCGAGCCACTTGATTTAAGCTAATCGGACTAATGAAAAGCACCCGTAGTTAAAGTACTAATCTGTAATTTAATTTTATGCCTCGGAGTTAGCAAGTCAAATCGATAGACGCCACGCTGGGAGGCATCGGCGAAGTACATACTAAAACTTTCTTGCTCGCAGCGTCTCGTGATTATGGACTACCGTTTAATTTCTATTCTAGAATTCTGAGCCAGCAACTTTCGAATTAGTTAAACTTTGATGTATCGGCGGATGTATCCGCGCGCACGCTGCACGTTTAAGGATAAATAATTTCGCGCTGCGATCAAACGACTGCTGCCAATTCTTGTCTCAATTTCGCAACTGACGACTTTTCAGGTGATGCAACTGATTGGCTCTCTGTACCTGCTCTATTTTCCGTATTGCGGATTTATCCTCTGGGAAGCTTGCGGCGTCGACAATCAGCAGCGTCATGCAAACTCTAAGCTCGCCTCTTTAGCGTCACTCCTCCTCGCGTGCTCGCCACCTATCAACGGCCTTCTCTACGGCCTGAAATCGCAGACCCTGCGACGATCCGTGCAAAACTACTGGCGGAAAAAGGCAACTAAGTCGGAATTGCAGCAGGTAGGCGAGAAAAATGAATGCTCGTGAAGGGCACTCGAGTGCCGAGCGAAGGACAGTAGTAATTTTCGCAGTTTACGGTTATTATTGCTCTTATGTGCCATCACGTTCGTATATGTACGTATATGGTAGCGTGAGAGCAACTGTAAATCGCCTGTTCCAGGAGATACAGGCGAGAACACCGAGCGTCGCGGGCTCCAGGAGACCTTCCGGCAGTGGGAACACTTCCTTTTTTCCATTCCCGCCTCTACAGCGAAGGCTCAGCGAGGCGTTATTGGCTCTCGGCTCGTGTAGAACTGGTGGAAGTTTTGAAAGCAATAACCTGGGGTTTCAGCGCGGCAGATTGCAGCCCGCTGTCTCGTGTAATACTCTCAGGGTGCCGACCGCTGAATCAGGTACACGATCCTCGCTGCTGATATCGCTTTATGCAATCCCTGTGTTTCCGTCATATTTAAATAGTTCTTAGTTCGTCTTAGTTCGTGAACCGATAGTTTGAGATTCCTGCATTTTAACGCGAATATCTTTATAAAAAGGAAAGAGTTTCTGTAGTGAAATGAATCGAATTTTTAAAAGACCTCTTGATCCTTGATGGATAAACGTTTCGTCACTGATATGAGCGTCATCCTTTCATCATGGCGCGCTAAGGTGAGCCGAGCAAATTGGTGAGGGCGAGCGCGAGTGCCAGTAGTCTGATGGGTCCCCATTATCGGAGCGACTTTATCGGGGCGGATTTGGGCGTGGGATGCTCCATAGCTATGTGCGAGACCCCGAAGAGGAGCCCGAGGATCCTCATAACGCGCGCGTACAGCGAGGAGAGCCAAGACGGAGGCAGCCCCCTTCTGAGAAAACCCCTCAATTCCAATACTAATCCACCACCGTGCGAAAGTACGTCGCATGCTAACATTTAGTAGTGTTTGCTTCAATCGCATTTGCAATTCTGTAATGAAGTCGCGATTTATGAAAAATTATCACGCCTCTAGTTGACACATCTGAAGCGGACTCCCATTTTCTCTTCTATCTAAAATCTCATAGTTTTGCATAATATTATCCTCTCTATAAACAAGAAGAAATCAAGTAAGTTTTCAACGTAATGTCACTAAAAACGTGTTTGCCGTTAGTTTCATATGGAGATTTGCAAATGAATAGATCGTCAAAGTAACTGAGGTGCTGGCTTAGCGTTTGACCTTATTTAAAAGATCTCTCGTTTATCGCGCGTGCACAGAACGTCGATGGCGACACTGCAGCACCGGAAGTGAGAGCAGTACGGGAAGCAGCGATGCGAGCGTATGGACTACCGGCGTGGTCCCGAAGTACGGCAAGGGCAATGCGAAGAACTCGGATGGCTGGTCGTCACGTACGCGATACGTACGCGGAAAAAATTTAGAAGAAGGCGCACTATCAACTACGATAAGGCCGAACAACAACAGCGAGAGCAGCGATACCACGGACACAACTACAGCCACGACAACCACTACCACGCTACTTAAATCTCTCGCCATGGTAAGTGATAAAATGAATTCGGAGCAATTTTTTTATCGATCAATACTATAAATTTAAATATAATTGTATACATAATTATCTTAAATAATTTTATAATTACTTGACGTTTACAATACGTAACGGTAATTTTTTAATAGCAATTGTAATGGAGAAGAATCAAATAATTATCTCTTTACTCTTCAATACATAATTCAATTTACAATTCAATTTTAGCTTTAAACACAATTAATTACTCGAATGCAGGAGACTGGCGAAGAGAATGAAAAGGAGAAGGAAAGAATGAACGGTAATATGAAGAAAAGAGAGTTCAGCGAAAGCGAGAGCAGTTGGAGCAGCGTCGAAGAGATCGAAATCAAGGCAGAGAAGAACGATGAAGACGACAATCCTGAGAGGTCGAAGGAGGAGAATCCGCAGACGAAACCTCCGCGACGAAAATCGAAAAGCAGTAACTGCGATCCAGAAATTTCCGAGGATCGCGAGGAAGCTGCGCAACTGAGGCCACTTCTAACTCCCTCCTCTTAAACCTCCCTTCTCTGTCTGTGTAAAAATGTATTTTCTTTTTGGATAATTCGTTTGTATGTGTGTGTGTGTGCGCGCGTTGTATATGTGTATGCATGTGTCGTGGACGAAATAAAATTTCACCGCGTGCAGTACTTAAAAGTAACACTGATACACATGGGAGGTTTCAGGAGAAATAAGTGAGCATACACAATCATGATGCGCTTATTTTGTGAATTTACGGAAATAAATTTAAAAATTAGCTGGAGAATTACGAGAGAAAGAGAGAGATATACTTTGATAACTTGCATTTAACAATATTCGTGTTTGCGACACGAGAGCGAAGAGAAGGTATTCGACATGTAATTTGTCAAAAATGTACGTTTTGTAGGCTGATCTCAACCATCTCTGACATGTCCTAACGTATTGTAAAAAGTTTGAAGAAAATATGAATTTTTTTTTAAGATCTTTTCAGATCTTTTACGCTCGACGTTGATATATCGACATATCGTGAAGTTATATTTTTGTACTTTCACTCTGCAACACTACGTGATGCAACAATAACGTGAGACCATCCTTTGCAACAAAAAACTGAAGAACTAATTAATGCACCGTCGACAAACTCGATTTCGAGAAATTTGTTCGTTCGTCCCGAAGAATTAATCAATGAACGTTTCCGATCAAATACCGATGAAAGTTTACGTCAGCGATGAATTCGTGAAAACTCGTTATCTACGAAAGTTCCGATCCAATTTATCTTTAATTTTCCGAAGCAAGTCATAGAAACTGATAGAAAAGCGGAGAACAACGGACAGAAGTCGGACACCCGAGAAAGTTCTTTTGATGGAAAGTGGTAATGACGTTGGAATCAAAGACGCGAACGAGGAGTGCTCGAACGTTAAGTTCATCGGGCGCCGAGTTACACTATTTAAGGAAGAAAAAGATAAATCTCACGTTTATGTCTTTCGTAAATGTCAAATTTCGCTCGATAGTTACAATTGCATCCATCGTGAATTCCACGTTTTTTTTTCATCTACGCGATTGTTATTAGCAATGTAGATGAAGCTACAGCCGATAGCGTAAGTAGCCTTTGGAATTGATGCTACAAAAAATTGCTTATATAATATATATGTGCATATGTAACAGATAATGAATATATGTTGCATATGTAACAAATCAGTGTATCTTCGATGTTCTCTTTGAACGTTGGACGATACGATGTTATAAAAACATTTACGTTTCGATGAGAGATTGTTAGAAGCGTGCAAGAATCGGTCCGTATTCGCATATTTTGTTTACGATTGACTACAAACTAGTTCCTCTCATTCCAATCATATACATTTAATTTGTATATGATTCCACCGATATAGAATATTTAAGGATATAATATATATGTATATTATTATTTATTACATATAAGTTATAATGGCTGTAATAAAGAATTAATAAAGAATGCACGCTTAATGCGGCGTGAATACGGATCACCTTCTGTATCGGTGTCTACTTTAATTTATATAAGATCGTTGCAAAATATATATATATATTGTTATAGCAACACCTCATTAACGTACATACGAGACTCGTTTCTACGCGTATGTCACGACGTCCATGTAATTTCGAATTTGCTAGAATTCGCTTATCTACGGCCGAGCTGCCCACTGATCTGAGATTGTCAAATAGAACCACGCGGCTCGGACAGTTGCCGTTTATTGTTGTCAAATAAAATTTCAGGAACTTTGTCGGGTGTAAATGTTATATTGATGTTAACATTACAAAAAATTGCGACATAAACGATGTCTGGGTGTATAAAAAGTTAGTGCAAAATAAAAAGAACAACTGAAAACTATCGAATTCTGTGTAATTTTGCGAAATCTCATACAAACTGCTTCATCATTGCAAAAAGATAAACAATTATTTTCTTTTCAATTGACTGTTTTTTGTACGCGCATGTAATAATGTGCGACAGTATACGTAACAGTGGAAGACCAGTGCAAACCAGCCTTGGAATCTCGACTCCGATGTCTCGACTGGTCGTTTAAAATTCAGGTAAGGATGGACGTGACTTTACGATCCTGTTTCCAAAACATGTTTCTACACGTCTTCTTACAGGGTTATTCTACGTTACGTTACCATATCGTGATGTGCGTTCACCGATAGAGTACGTGTGCGTGCAGTCATCTCGTATAACGAGCGATCTCCAATTCGGACTTTCATTTATTTTTCATGAATAAATCACGTCCATCGGTTTTTCGTGCGGCCTAGCATCATCCCCGAATCTTTTCGCGCTTGGCAGACTCATCAAAAAATTTCAGTGCGGGAGTACAAGAGATAGCTCGTTAATTCAATTAAACTTAAGTGCCGGTGGAAATTCGCTGGAAAACGCATTCGCACGCGACTGAGCGAAAAGTGCGGTCGAGTGTTAAGCGTGTAGAGTATTCGCGTTCTCCATCGAAGTTTCAAATACTTCATTGGGAAAGATGAGAGAGAAAAGCACTTTAACATGTACATTCGAATCGCAGGAGGAACGGAGGTACGACGTGTTGCATGCCTCATCAAAGATTTTCAAATCACACAGATATTTGTACCTTCGACGTGAAAATCGATCTAATCGTTCGAAACTTGAGACCCCCCGCACTCAAGACCTTTCGTTGGTTCATTTTGTAGCTACAGACCTGTCTTGCGTTGATGCGGTTGTTGCGCAGGCTCGCATCGATCTTGCTTTTGCTCAGCTGATACATCTACTGCTGCATTTCGTAGTTGTGCTCCGCTTAAAATGCGTGTTAGAAACACGTAACAGGAATGTTTTTCCGACATTTAAGTGTAAGCTTTGCAGTGTGCAATTATCTCGATATCGGTGCAATATTCGTATGATATTCGATAATTCTTCCTTCCCCTAGAAAAATATATTTACGCATGCGTTTTTCAACTCGTGTCAAGAACTGAACTCAACGTTATCCTTATAGTTGAAGCGGTGCACCAAATCGCGCAGGATGTAGCCAATAACGCCGACATGGCGTGGAATTTCTCGACACACGCTGGTCGAGAGGTACACAAAGAAGTACGGTCGTAGATGGTGAAAAACGGACGGCATGTCTTCCGAGTGAGTGGATCGATGTTGAATTAGTACGGGCGCGACTCCATTTATTGTACTAATAAATGGAGCTTTTCGCAGAGAAAAACCATGAGAGCTTCCTCGCCCTCGTCCAGCACGAGTTCCGTGTACACCAGCGCCGACGATGCACGCCGGTGCACCGGCTACGAGAGGAGCCAGTTCCTCGACTTGGAGGATGTCGGGACCGCCTGGCTCCTCGGCACGCATTCCTCGCATGATAGATCGAAACGAGTACTCGAGAGATTAAAAATAGACAAGTGAGTGATATCATACGTCAGCTATATCGCGAGCACCGAGCTCGTTCTCCCACGACATAATCTCTTTTCATTTTGCTTGCCAGTTGAGAAGAGTTTCCCTACCTAGCTCAGGTATTACATTTCAATTTCACCTGGAAAAGTAATTCAACTTCAATTAGAAAAGTGAAAGTAATTTCCGTTCGTTATCCACAGTTCTTAGATCAACAGCGTCCACGGTATAAGAAACTGATCTGTGTCACGCCGTGTTTTTACGTAGCCGCATTACGTTTGATCTTATATGTGCTTATTACACAACAAAAAATTTGAGCTGCTTTAAACTGTTGAAGCACAATGCATGTATTTACACAACAAAAAATTTTTATTCCAGGCATTATAAAGCAATTTTGATCATTAGTGATACATTAAAGATCGACACAGCTGGCAGTAGTCTTTTATATAAGAAAATTTTTTATTACTTTTTCAAAATATCGTATTGGATATAATATTAATTTTAATTGTTATCTAAAACTGGACTCAAATCACGTAAACGAAAATAAATACAAATAAATAATTTACTTCAAGCTAACAATAGCATACAACGCTTTCAACAATAACGAAGCTATTTATATTTATTGAGACAAATAATTTATTCATGTTTGCTCTATAAACTCGCTTGATCATGGTTCAAAAAATATAACTACATAAAAAGTAGCAGAAAATACTTAATAAATATTTATAATAATATATGTATTTATTAAAGTTTCAGTATTTTTAACTGTACGTATTTTTTCAACTCTTACGTACAGAAATAAAAACTAATAATGAATAAAAATTATAATTTAATCTTTCGAATCTGAAATCCTATATTTTTTTATCAAAGGTTAAAAGTTTTACGTAATTTTGCGTATAAGTAATCTCAGCTTTAAAATCTCGAACATAACAATGATTCAGCTTGAAAATAACAATGATTCAGCAATTCTTGATAATAATTTATCGTTTTAATTGATATTGTAAGAATAGCGTCAATAAATAGCGATAATGGTAATCTGCATAATAATATTTTTGATATTATGTTTAATACAAGTACGTTTTACTATCAATAAGTAAAAATATAAAAATTGTTTTGTAAATTATGTTGCAATATAGATTAAAATCCTACATTTTTATCGCATCAGATAATCTATTAAATTGTGATGTATTTATCATTATTGCAAAAAAAAAATCTTTCCATTGATAACAGAAATAAAACACATTTAAAAAATAAACATTCTGTAAAAAATACAACAAAAAAATAACGAATGAGAATAATAAATACGAACAGTAGATAAAATTTTATCTGGATAGAATAAGAAATTGGATCGCAGAATAATCTGTGTGATCCAATTTAATGCCTTCATTTCTAAGCTCGCATATAATAACACAAGCTTAGAATTAACGATACAGTTTTTATATATCATTAAAAATAATGATTATGGAATCATTAAAATTCATAAAAATTAAAAAAATTTAATAAAACATTTCTTAAATTTTTTTAAATTTTTTCAAAATTTTTATAAATTTTAATGATTTTATTACCATTACTGTTAATGATTTCTAAGAATTTCAGAAATTATTTAAATAAAATGCAGCAAACTATTTTATCGACTATTTGATATGACTATTATATAACGATACTTTCATTGTTTGTCTCTATTACTTTCACAATACTAGCCTCAATCTTCAACATAGCCTCAATTAAGATTCTAAACACACATTTGCCCTGTCGACGAATTTTAAGATCAATCCCACCTAATTGCAATTCCAAGAAAAAAATTTTCAAACGTACCAGACACGAATTCACGCGACATTCGCTCGTTTGGTAGACAGTTAAATGGTTGTTACTGCTGTGGAACAAAGAGTAAAGTGTTTCAAGTATCAGTCCGCTTCCAGTTACACTCGTTAACTAACAGACGGCAATCCTTAGAGCTTTTAGAATTTATATACTCATTTATCAAGGCTGCGCGCGCATGATATCACGCGCGAAATTCATAAATCTTTGATCTTAATGCATAATAAGACTGTCATGCTTTGAATATTTATAGTCAAAAAAATGATTAATGTTTTTAAACGCGTTTAAATTATCACTATAAGCGTATATTAATGTTCAAATTCAAATGATTAAAATATTAAATTATATTTGCAGCCAACATACATGTATATATTTAACAAATAATTTATAAAAAATGAAATTTTTAATTATTATATAGATTTCTTTAAAATAACTTTTATTAGAACAATTTTTTAGAACTCTATTTAATTACTTAAAAAAATAATTAAATGTGTTTACTTAAATCAAACATATCATATATTAATTGCCCGTGAAAATTGATACTAAAAATCTTAATATAAAAATATCAATAACAGTTTCAAAGTTGTAAGCAATTAACGCTGTGCTTTAGCAATGTATAATGTATAATATAAGAACAAAACAATAAGAGAATAAATTAATATAAATCTAAAATATTGATATGTGTAATAACAAATTACGTATGCTGTTTAAAACCTAATGTTGCTTATAAATCATGCAAGATAATCAAATGCGTACCATCAGTGTTGCATTTCTGTCAATCAATATTCATATAAATCAATTAATATTTAATAGTTTAATTAAATTATTCACGTACTTAGTTATTAACACTTGTCGAAGAATCAAAATTATGGTTTCTGCAACGACAGCTGAATAAGCACAGCATATATAATAAAAGAAAGCGATGCGAGAAATGGGCAACGATAAAACCGATTCGACAGTAGAGAAAAAAACCTTTCTTAACATTTGATAAATTGAATAAATTGCGGCAAAATTGTTAAAAATCATGAATCATGGCTGTTGCCTCCTTTTCAGATCACGATTTCGCGTGCAACATGTGATTATAATCGGCGCCGTTGTAGCCGCACTGATAATCGCTGTAGTCATCAGTCTGAGTGCGTACGCACGTAGCAGCACGTCGGACTCGCGACACGATGACTTTCTGGCGCCGCCTGATCCAGAGAGCTTCCAGCCTCCGTCATGGAGTAAGTTGAGAACTTTCAAACGCGGTGCCGTTTGCGCGGACGGAGCACCATGCTCTGTTATCGGCAAGTACGTATACAGACGTGAATTGTTTAATTCGTATAAGAATAATCGATATACGAGAGTCGATATATACGCTTTATTCGCCTTTTCAGGTCGATCCTGGAACGGAACGGATCGGCGGTGGATGCTGCGCTGGCCGCGCTAATATGCAACGGTCTTGTGAATATGCAAAGCCTGGGCCTCGGTGGCGGACTTATGATGACAATTTATCAAAGATCCACGCGCCAAGCCTTCGTTCTCAACGCAAGGGACCGCGCACCTTTGGCAGCGAATTCTACGATGTACGATGGCAAACCCGCAAATGCATCTTCGTTCGGTAAATCTTGACTCTTTGATATACAAGCGTCTCTCAATCGTTTTTTTTTTGTACGAAAAAGTATTTAATGCCGACGGATTTTAATTGGCAGGCGCACTGTCAGTCGCCGTGCCCGGTGAACTCGCCGGTTACTGGGAAGCTCATCAACAGTTTGGTAGATTGCCATGGGCGGATTTGTTCAAGCCGAGCATCGAGCTCTGCGAAAAGGGCTATGTCTTGACATTAGTGCAGTACGACGGCCTTACGTATAATAAGAAAAGCATTTATAACGATCCAACTTTGAGGTATGAGCTTGTCAAGTATATATACAAACTCCGCGCATAATAATAAATGATGAAATATTTACGGCGCGGTGTACACGAAGTATCGTCATTAATCTTTTAGAGAACTATTTGTCGATCCTGTGACTAACGAGTTCCGTAAACCAGGATCCGTGATTAAGCCCCACGCACTTTGCGAAACACTGCGGATTATTGCCGAGAGAAATGTGACTGAATTTTACAACGGTACGATTGGACGACTTCTCGTCGATGATTTGCAAGAGCAAGGAGGAATCATAACGATGAAGGATCTCAACGAGTACAGGTAATCGGATAATTGTCCGGCGCGTCACGAAAAGAACTCGTTCTTAAATATACATATATGCCCTTCTTTCTATTTTTGCGCAGAGTTTCGTGGGATCAACCGATACAGACGAATCTTTCGGGCGGGATAGAACTCTTGACTACAGGACTGCCCGGTAGCGGAGCTCTTCTCACGTTTATTCTCAATGTTTTCGACGATTACGGTTTCACGCCGGCCAGCATAGCCGACTTTAACGCGACAATCCTCACGTATCATAGAATGATAGAGACGTTCAAGTACGCGTTTGCGTTAAGGACGAAGCTGGGCGACGGAGCTTTCGTCGATATGACCGAGGTAAAACGATGCCGAACGATGTCTCTTCCTTTTGAATCTTATTGAATTTGTTCCAATCAATAATAATTGCACTATTTTAATCTTTTGAAAATAATCCTTTCTCTGCGAAGATAACCAGAAACCTGACGTCGAAGAGCTTCGCGCGCGCGATACGTGAGAAAATAGACGACACGAAAACGTGGCAGGATCCTCGGCATTACGGCTCTCCTGTCTACGCTAATGTCGAAGACCACGGTACCGCGCACGTATCGGTGCTGGCACAGAATGGCGATGCGGTATCAGCCACCAGCACCATCAACTATTAGTAAGCCGATCTCTACCTGAAATTGCATCGTTTGCGAATTGTTTGAAAATATCCTTGGTATATGCTTTCCGTCTGATGATTTTGCAGTTTCGGAAGTGGAATAGTCAGCAGAAGAACCGGCATTGTGTTGAATAACGGCATGGACGACTTCGGCATTCCGTCGCAATTCAATTACTTCGGTATGCCGCCAAGCCCCAACAATTATATCGCGCCTAAAAAGCAGCCGTTGTCGTCTATGGTGCCATCCGTTCTGGTCGATCGGCACGGTGACGTAAAGATGATCATGGGTGCCGCCGGTGGTACAAGAATTACGACGGCGGTGTCGCAAGTAAGTAACAAATATTTAATTTGGCTGGATTTCTATTTAGCGTTTACCGAGATCAATAAATCAACAGACGATTCTCACAGATGTACGCCTCTACGCTTTTAGGTGACGGCGAAAATACTTTGGATGGGACAGACGGTCAAGGAGGCGGTGGACTCGGCGAGGATACATCACCAGCTATTCCCGCCGAAGGTGTCTTACGAGTACGGGATCCCTAAGCAAGTCATCGACGGTCTGAAACGTTTGGGACACGTCACGGAGCGTTACAGGGTTCGCGGCAGCGTAGCCTGCGTCGTACTGTATGAAAATTCCACGATTTTCGCGAACGCCGATTATCGCAAAGGCGGCGACGTGTACGGAATCGATTGATTTGCGCACGTGAACCACCTCGTCGATGAGCCAGCCGTCACCTTGCAGCACAAAAATTCTGCGAAAGATAATGGGCTTTGTTCAAACAGCACCTCGTGTTTATTATACCGATGTACGCGAATCTTGTTATCGTTACCGAGATGTTTACGTTTGAAAGATCGATATGCCAGTATTATCGTTCAATACAACACTTTTACACTTTCTGATCGCATGTCCCTGCGTCTCATTCTTCCTTCCGACAGATCTATATTACCTTGGATTTATTATCTTCCCTTGAATTCTCTCGTGATATTTACATATACAAAACGGGCAACAACAATGTAGGTATCGAAAACTTTTTTTACTCGTGCAAATAATTTACATATTCGTATACGATTCGAATTCTCAGCGTAACTGTACTTCGCTCCGTGGACGTGACGCTTATCGAAAACCACTAGCCTTGCTGCGCTTTTTATAGACGCGAAGCCTTGATGACGCATTGCTGCGATTTATTTATTTCCTGCTTTAAACTACTCCGTATAATGTACCTGATGTTCCACTTCAATTTTCATCCTCGCACATCCTAGTCTCTGCGAAATTCTTCAATAAAATTTTCTATTGTAATTTTTTTAAACAGCCTTCTTAATCAATAAAAACGAATTTTGATAATACATCAATCTTGACAGAATGCCAATAGCACTTTAGCTAGGAGGAAATTATTTTTCGTATCCTTGGTACGTCACTGCACGTCTCTTCTTCCTCTAGTCGTCTTGCTTGGGGGTCATGGAGCTTTCTACAACGCCAAGGCGGCGCTTTGGGAGCGCCATACAAATATAAGGTATTGCAATAGCCATTCCCCTTCTACAGCCACGGCGAAACCTGTTCCCGAAGCCGTCCAGGAGGATTCTCGGCTAGTCGCCAGTTGGAGAACAGACCGGGGGCTGACTTAATGCAAACCATCAAGATCAAATCGATTAACGGTACTACGCATCCGCGCGCGGCTCATTTCCTTTCGTCTGGTCTTCGCCGTCCTTGGAATTCGATTGACGATTTTTTTCGCACGGCATTTCTTTTTTTATAAAACTTCGAAAGTGAGAAAGAAGGAGCCGCGTTGATCGGACTTTGTCATCTGCTGACTTAGCGGAGATAGCGCATTCTACAAGCTATAATTAAACGTCGCCTCATCGTGAGAGGGGTACACGAAAGCGAGCACGTATTTCGCGCCTAGTCCGAGATAATCCGTATCAATGTCTGACCTTGAAAAATAAAACTGCGTCACGAAAGAAAGAGGAACTGATGTTTCGAGTGTAAACAAGTATATGCCGGACTCGCAAGCGCGACATTTAACTATTAACACCTGAGGAACGTCGCGGGAACGTCGGATAAAGAATCGAAAATAAATATTCGAATATAAAACATCTGTTTGTATCGTTAATTAATATCGATGATACCTGCCTGAATAAATATTATGTATTCCGTGCGCTGCGAAAAATACGCCGCGGCGAATTACGAACTCGGCAAATGTGTCGAATTATTTTCTCGTAAATGGCAAGTGCTGGAATACGATATCAGAGAAATATCATTTATCAGTTTTAACATTACCCTCATCGCGACCTTTTTTTTTATGATTCGACATATTGTCAACTCGCTAACGTCGAGGGAGAGAAGAAACACCTCGCAGATTCTTACTAAATAAAATTAGTATGTAAAACAAAGTTACAAAGCTCGTCATTGTGATCGCGCGAACAAGGGGATTGAAGAATACGAAATTATTTGATCTGGAAATTTCATCGGTGGCGTGACGCGTCTTTCAACGCTTCGATAGTTCTGCCTCGCGTTGACATCGTACGACGTAGAAACAAGCTCGATTGATTGCGCGTGTGTGAATGCGTGATATCGGCTTTCCTCCGCGCGGCAACGCGGCCGCGCGCGGTGATATGCATATCCCCCGGTGAATGTAACAACAAAATACTTGTCGAGTTGTTTACGTCCTCATTACGAGCGTCTTGTTCACCTCCGCGAGGCGGTGACGTCTTATTTGCAAACGATTAGAATAACGATACCTGACACGCGCTTTTCCTATCGGCGATTCCTTTTCGTTGATTCTTTAAATATCCATGCAGCTATACATCTATTTCTATTTCTTTCATTTCGTTTCTTTCTATCCTTCTCACTCTCACAAATTTTTTTTCAATTTAACGCCACAAGCAACGGCATAACTGCGCGATTCCTCTCAACGTTTCCTCACGTACTTGACGAGATAAGACATAATATATCGTCCTGAATAAAAGAGCTACCTTCGGAGATCAAACGCATTCCGCTAAAAGCATCACACAATGTTGTGCGCGGCTCTGCAACAGCGCTGGAAATACACGCTCTATAGAACGCTCGTAGAAGGCAATGCACTTGGGCGTCGGGTGAGCTTACGTGTTGGAATTTTCTAGGTCGCTTCGAACGTATAGATTAGCCATGTGAGTAGTGATTACTGAATGAAACGGGAGCGAAGATCTCGTGTACGAAGAGAACCGAACCATCATCGTAGGGAGTATTGGAATAACTTTAAATTATATATCTCTACCGCGTTTCCAAACAACAATATGTTTTGTCGTTCGATGACTTTTCGTGCGTTACATTATTTTATCTGTAGATTTGCGGTTTGCATTTGATACGTACAGATAACGTTATCTATATATAGAAGTTATTTGGTTCATACTGATACGCCAATCTAATGGAATACGAGAAATAATTGATAGATAATCGATTATAGATGTTTTGAGCAGTTGAATAAAAAGGTTTTATTCAACTTCGAGTTTTAATTGATTATTTCAATATTATACGTCCCAATATAAACATTATGATAGAGCTGCTTAAAATTATATGAATATATACAATATTTCTAAATCCATAATTTGTTATCTTTTATTTTCTTTCTTGTACATAGAAAAATAAATCATTAATGATCTTTGTTAAATAAAATGGTTAATAGATTATTACTTGAGTTTGTCAACGATTAAATTAATATAGAATTAATCGGAGTCATGTAATCCTTAGTTTTTGAAAAATTATATCTTTAGTACTTACGTAGATTCGTAATATATGTTTCAATAACACAAGACCAGCTGCGCCACGCTGCCCAACAATATATGTGTGTCCACTGTGCCGTCACAATATTGCCACGCAGTTTCTACTTAATGGCTTTTGTCCTTGAAACGACGTTCAACACTCCGCTCGTATAAGAAATAAAAATCTGCAATATATAAAAATTATTTATATATTTTTACGAGCGTTCAATACGTAATATTGTTGTATCATGTATGTAATTGCGCCAACTTTGTTTATCTGACCGATATGTTTATTTCTCTCTTCGCGGCTGATACTGATAACTCGAGTTCACAGGAAGGAGTTGCATAATTTTACGAAAAAGCCAGGTCGAAATGAAACTTCTCGATACGCGTTATCGGCGCTTTGCGCGGTATCGACACCGCGAAGGTTATATTTACCATCTGCACGCGCAGATACTACGCCGTTGCGCAAGATTACGCGAAATAAAGACATTTCCTTTCCTTTCGCGCGGAATTGACAAAAGAAAAAATATTACATATTAGATTCGCATCGAGACGTCGTCAGAGAACGTTCAGAGAATGTTGCAAAGACCATCGCCGGCGAAGAAACCGGCGAGGAAACCCTGTTGAATCGTCTCGGGGCTTCGAGCTCGAAATGCGCATGGGCACGCATGAGCGGGCCGCGCCGCGCCGCGCGTCGTATATAAATCCGGGTCGGCGAACGCCGCGCGACCAGTATCGAATCGATCTTCCCGGTCGAGCCAGCGTACCACACGAGCATTTACTATCTTCGCGCAAACTGCGTCGTCGCGCCGCGACTGTCCTTCCACAAGCGTTACCCCGAGAGAGAACCTGAATCTCCGTAAACTATGTCCGAGGCGCACGTTGACGAGTACGAGCACTTCAACTACGACTACGACAAGCACATATTTACCGCCCACGGTGGCAAGCAGAGGAGCAAACGCGAGGCGGTCGCGCATACGAATCACTTCGATCCGAGCGGCCATTCCCGAAAGATTCTCACCAAGCTGATGAACACCGAGCACAACAAACGGCAGACGAGCGGGACGAGCCAGACCACGACGAGCAATAAGAGCAAGGCGTAGAGGTGAGATCCTCTCGCGCCCCCCCCGTGACTTATTATTCGAGTGCGTACTTGTACTCGACCGCTTTTATTCTCGAGCAAGTATGAGGCAATTACGTTTTACCTTTCACGAGATTTTACGCAAGACTCGTTTATCTACTCGTGCCGAAGGCTGCTACCATGGTGCACAGAAGGAGACGCATGCTGCTCCCTATACCCGATTATACCGCAATTACCATGGCTGCTCAGGCTGCCACGCGAACGATGTATAAAGAAAGTTAGCGTTAGCTGAGTATCTTGAAGTTGCGCGACTATCTAACGCACATGCAAGTATATCTCGATTCGATTAATCGCGTGCAGCGGCCTTCAGAACGATACAGAAATTTCTTAATACAAGTGATTTTCGTTCTCTACTACTTAATAAATCTAATTCCGATAAATTAAAATTCGTTATTTCACAGAAATTACGTTTAACATTCGACAGTAGAAAAGATACATACCTTATCAATTTTTACATGTCACTAGTTACATATACTTACGTGTACTCGGAAAGGTTAACAATGGAAAAATCAAAACAAACACGGTCGCGCTCGTTGCGTCCGTGTTCTTGTTATGTTCAATCGTTCAACTCCTAAATCCGCGAATCGCATCAGCGTCTCGCTTTTTTTTTGGTGCTTGTTCGCGAAAAGCAGGCGCGTACTGCGCCGTGACTTATTTCGCTATCGACGCCGGCATACTTATCTTAATAAGCGCGGTGACTCACGCGGCGCCGTTTATCTTTTCGCTGTTTATCTTTTTTTCGATTGCGTAAGGCCGTGAACACAATGGAAGAGAAATATTGAAAACAGAAATAAATATAAGAAATTTTTAACATCAGAGAAATCGCGTGTGTTCCACGGTACACGGTTTCTCGGGACAAGTTGAAATTCTTGTGTTTATTTCTGTTCCTGATATTCTTTCCATTATGCTCAAGGCCTTACGCACAGTATTTCACCTTTCGCGGCAATGCCTGCTTTTCAGAAAACATTCGAGAGACGACGTTCTTCTCCGCACTAATTCGTAATTTTCATTTCAGATTACGTTCCTAACCTCGCGGCCCGGCGTCGTCAAGTTGGATCTCATCTCACTGGACTTACCTCCTATCTAAGACGACCGGAATAAAAAAATATACTTTTTTTTTTTACTATCAAGCATGCATTTAGTCGTAGGTTCTCACCCAATGTAAGATCGGCACGATAGCTCGTGCCCCATCGTTATCATTTATGTCAGAAGCACGCGAATAATCACGTTATTTATAAGAGTATATAAAAATAACGTACGTATATGTCGCACTTCGGCTACCGCTTACCTCGCGTGAATCTGGAGTTCGCATGACATTCTTTTTCTTTTTTTTTTTCCTCTACGTAGGTCGTAGCATAATGTGGTGATACTATATTAATTTTTGCGTGTGCTATTATTGAATTCGTTGATAAGCTATATGATCGATTGAACCGCTTCTGTACGTTCATGAAAAATAAAATTTATGATCTAATAAAATGATAGGTGAGTCATTGAAGCCTTTTTTCATGCGTGCGTTTTTACGATGAATCATTGTTAAAAGGAACTGCGATAAACTTCGCTACTGGTTTGTTATCATAATTAGAGCGGATATATGCAATATTGTGATATGCGCGGCATACTACAAAGAAGAAAATATCCTTGTGTAAAGAAAGCTAGACTGATTCAAATTAACTCGAGAATACACGATGTTGATGTTCAGTCAAAACGGATTATTCGCACATTATTGTGATCGATGACTATATATATTATTGATTTAGAATTGCGTGATATGTTTCTCCGCGCGAAAGAATAATACAATGTTGTATTAACATAAACATGATGTGATTATATTGAAAGAACTGCGCAAGTAAAGATTTCTAATTAATTGAAAATATACTTTCTCTTATAAATGCATATTCCATTCTTTCTTTCCTTATCTCTTATATTTATTTTAACCATCTTAGTTTGATCATCTGTTTTATATTATCCGTTACTTAAACAAGATTGTTATAACGATAATGCAGTGTATCAAAATGAGGCATAAATCAAATGTTATTTTTAAACAGTTATAAACATATAGCACTTACTATTACATTCCATCTTATGAAAAAAAATTTTGCAGACGTGCATCAATTCTTGGCAACTAATTTTAATTCCTGGATGTATTTTCGATACTGAAAGTAAATTTAAATCGCTATAGACATCTCTGCTCAAAATTTGAAACTGGTATAATTCTGCATATACATATACTCACTACCGTATGCGAAGTACCATACTTGAACACGCGAATTTTGGACTACTTGACTAGTTAATTTTAAAGCTTCATTTAAAAAATTCTATTATAGTTTCTGCATTCGGTATTAGGATTCTCACATTAAAATGATCTCTGTCATTGATGGTTATCGATGAAAAATCTAGAATACTCTGTATGAAAACTGCTCGAAAACAGACAGTGCATGAGATAAAACTGTGTATGAGATAATTGATCTTATCACTTGATAAGAAAATGAACAATTACGCACATACTAATAATAACCTTACAAAAGAATATATGGAAAAGTTATACATTGCAATCTGGGTGAAATTTCACTTTTTATTCAAAATATATTAGAAATATTTTAATATAAGACACGTATTGACCTTGAGATTTAAAAACCAAACTTTTATTTTCACATTTTTTATTCATGCAATAGACAAAAATACAAAGAGAAATGTCCACCCTGTTAGATCATGAATTATTGTATTTCTGTCACTAATCAATTTTCTTTGAAATATAGATGTTAAATATAGTCAAGTTAAAATATACAAGTAATATAAATTTTAAGATAACACGCATGAGCATTACATGTTATCAAACTTGAGATAAATATTCTTTTATAAGTAAGGTTATTATTAGTATGTGCATACGCAAAACATGTCTGTTGATATGATAAATAATTAGCCTCGAAAAAAGGATAGTTTAATAGAAGCATGATCAAAGAATAACCGGCATTCGTCACAATCATGTTGCTGAAACTAGTCGTCCTACTTTGCTTGAGCTTTGCCGTTCACGCAAATATAGATGGGACTGCTCCAAGAGTCAAAACGCCTTTGGGAGGACTGAAAGGCTATTACAAGTTCTCGGAAAATGGTAGGAAGTACGAGGCATACCAAGGGATCCCTTACGCGTTGCCACCTATTGGGAAATTACGATTTAAGGTATATAGTCGAATTAATTATTAATAATGTAAATATCCTTAAAGCTATATTTCTTGAACTGACACTTCTTATGTAATAAAACGAAAGTAGATTTGAACAATAGATGCCAATAGTTTTTCAAAGCTTTAGATCAAAGATATTTCATAGCAATTTTCTGTTACATAGAAATACAATTTTTCTAAATTTTACTTTTTAAAATTTTAGTTTAAAGTTTTAGAATTTGAGATTTTTCTTATTTTTCCTACGCAGCCTCCTCGGCCAATACCGGCATGGACTGGTGAATTATCGGCTACAAAATTCAGTTCTGAATGTATTCAATATGATCAGGTGCCAACTCCAGAGAAGGTTATTGGTGCCGAAGATTGTTTATATTTAAACGTTTATGTGCCAATACGAGAAGCAGGTGCAAATAAAACCCCAATGCCGGTAATATTTTGGATCCATGGCGGGGCGTTCCAATTTGGTAGCGGCATGTTGTACAGCGCTAAATATTTAATGGACCACGATGTTATACTTGTCACAATTAATTATCGATTGGGACCAATGGGTATTTGCACTATATATCTTAAATAAGATTAGTAACGTATACTATTAATAGTACGTTCAAAATAATATTTCTAATGTTAAAGTTCATTTAGCCAAGTGTTTACACAGATAAATATAGATAAAATTTAATCTAGCTAATTTAAAAAAAAAATGTACAAACTTGTTTTGATCATTTTATGTTTTTAACTTTTTTTTAACAATTAAAAAATATATATCAGGTTTCCTCAGCACGGAAGATGAGGTAGTTCCTGGCAATATGGGTCTGAAGGATCAAAATATGGCGCTTCGTTGGGTATCGCAGAACATCGAATGGTTCGGTGGCGATTCGAAGAAAGTGACCTTGTTCGGTTTAAGTGCTGGCGGTGCAAGCGTGCATTATCATTACTTATCGCAACTGAGCGCAG